GAGAAAAAAGGAAGACACTCAGTGAGATGAATTGGAAAAGTGGTAGCATCAATGGGCTCAAGCATGGCAATGATAGTGATGTTGGCCCAGGATCAGGCAGCGTTTTGTTCTGCTTTCATAAGGTCGCTATGAGTCAATACCAACTCGATGGCACCTAACAACAACAACAGCAACAACAGGAGTCCTGGTGTGGCACTGTAGGATACTGCACTAGACCACAATGTCCGTTTGAAGCACAAAGTCGGCGGTTCATTTCACCAGCCACTCCTCTATACATGATCGCTATGAGTCAGAACCAACTTGAAGGTACTTAACAACAACAACAAAGACCTAATGGATTTGGGTACTTAATATCAAAGGTTGCCAAAATCACACACAGAGAGACAGTCAGACCTTATGTTCCTCCACTTATGAAACAGTCTTGGAGAGACAGAAAAAAAATCAAACCTGAACTTGATAAAGTTTCCACATTCAATTATTAATTTACAGAAAATACAGGAGAGAGAGAAGCTTGACAAAAACACCCTAGAGAAAGGAATCAGTAAAATTCAGACTAAGGGAAACTTTATATGATAAATAATCCAGTTTCTTCAATAAATAAATTGTAAGGTGGTAGGTTAGAGAAGAAAGATGGGGAAGGAACATGTAGATTAGAGGAGACTAAAGAGACATCATCCCATTGCAATATATTGACCATGTTGTTTGTTGTTATTAAGTGCAGCCGAGTCGGTTCCTACCCATAGCGACCCTATATTGGGTTTCAGAGGAGCAGCTGGTGAGCTTGAACTGCCAACTTTGCAGTTCAAATGGCTTTGCAGTCTGGCACATTAACCCATAGTGCCACACCAGGACTCCAAATATTCATCATATTTGGTCCTAATTCTAAAAACTATAAGAAAATCATGACATTTAATAAATGAGTGAAATTTTAAATATCAGATATTTGATAATATTGCTGTTGTTAAGTGCCATCGAGTTGGTTCCAACCCATAGTGACCCTGTATAGGATTTCCGAGGAGCGGCTGGTAGGTTTGAACTGCCAACCTTGCAGTTTAAACTGATCTTGCAATCCAGCACATTATCCTACAGCGCCACACCAGGACTCCTTTTGATGATATTGTTATTGTTGTTAAGTGCTGTCAAGTCAGTTCTGAATCACAGCAACGCTGTTCGGGGTTTCCAAGGAGAGGCTGGTGAGCTTGAACTGCTGACTCTGTGGTTCACATTAACTCACAGTGCCACACCAGGACTCCTTGATGATATTAAAGAATGGTTAATTTTAAGTAAGATGATGGTATTGTGATTCTTCTTAAAAATCATTCTTTTAGAAACCAAGTGGAATATTTATGGATGAAACTATATGGAATTTGCTTCAAAATAATTCAGGAAGGCCATGGAGGCTGGATGAAACCCTGAAACTATTGCCTTGAGATAATCTTTAACCCTTAAACAAAATATCGCCTGCAGTCTTCTTTAAACAACACAATGCTTTAGCTTAGTTTATAAAGAATGTCTGCCTTGAAATTGTGCTCTCTTAAGAGTTACCTAATGGGATCAAATTGAAATTGAAAACAGCAACTCAAAAGATTAGACAGGAGCCTTAGGAGACAGTGAGTTTATGTTAATGAGTGAGGAGCAACTCAGGAAAGGAAGGTAAGAATGGCTGCACAACTTGAAGAATGTCATCAGTGTCACTAAACAGAACCTATAGAAATTGAATGGGTGTATGTTCTGCTGGGTATATTCTCAACAACAATAAATGCATAAATATCCAGAAAGGGGAAACTGGGTAGAAATCCATACCAAACAAGACTGGTAAGAGTTCACTGTTGTAACTACATGGTGAATACATGGGGGTTCATTATATTATTTTCTCTACTTCAATGTTTAAAAAATTTTCCGTAATGCAAAGTTTAAATAAAAAGTGTTGGGGTAAAGTTGGAACAGAGTACAAAGAGTCTGGAACAGAGGTTGAGGGATTAAGACTGACCTTCTGGAATTCAAGAAGGGAGGTCTTACCTTGTACAGAACCTGCCAGTCGCTGACTTTGGTGTGGGACAACTTCATGCGCTTCAGAATCAACTATAGTCAGACAAGAGGACAGCCACCATTTTTCTTCTCCAACCTCAACTCCCCTCCAAAAGCCCAGTATCCAACATCAGTCCTGGACTTCCTGCCCCACTCCTGCCCACACCCTCAGCATGAAGGCCTCCTGCTCACAGGCACATTCTTGATGTGACCCAGCAACCGATGCAGCATCTGAGCCATGTCCAGATTCTGGGGTAGCAGAAAAAACTGAATGACGTCCAGACGGGAATTTAGTTCTCCCAGGTCCTGAGTTGGACGTGTGAACCATAGTCTGGAAGGAGATGGAGGTAAAAAATTACATCTGTTCTGGCTGTCTTGGTTTTCAATTTGACAACATGTGTTTGGGGTCCCTGGGAACTATGGTAATCTGTATCTGACATACTATGGTATTTTCAATAACCTCATATGCATGTGAAAGTTGGACAATGAATAAGGAACACCTCAGAAGAATTGATGCATTTGAGTTATGGTATTGGAGGAGAACATTAAAAGTACCATGAATTGCCAAAAGAACAAATCAGTCTGCACTGGTACAGCCAGAATGGTCCTGGGAAGCCAGGATAGCCAGACTTTGTCCCTCATACTTTGGACACATTATCAGGAGGGACCAGTTCCTGAAGAAGGATATCATGACTGGTAAAGTGGAGGGCTGGAGAAAAAGAGAAAGATCCCCAATGCGATGGATTGGCACAGTGGCATTAGCAATGGACTCAAACTAGCAACAATTGTGAGGTCGGCTTAGGACTGGGCAGTGTTTTGTTCTGTTGTACAAGGGTCATTATGGGTCAGTACTGAGTGTTGTGGTTACGAATCAGGCTGCAAACCGCAAGGTCAGCAGTTTGAAACTGACAGCTGCTCCGCAGGAGAAAGATGAGGCGTTCTGCTCCCGTAAAGATTTACAGCCTCGGAAACCCTGTGCAGGGTCGCTATGAGTCGGAACCGACTCCACGGCACATAACAACAACAACAACAACAACATAGGAATGTATTGGCAAGTTCAGTATCCTTATCCATGTGGTGTGTTTACATATAGCTACTGAAAAGGTCCATGGTCCCAGTTCACCAGACACTCCTTGGAAACCCTACACAGGGTTGTTACGAGTTGGAGCCAACTCCATAGCACCTAACAACTGAAAACCATTGGGAGTGAGCATGCCTGTGTCTGTGTATTACAGTTTCATTGGGTAGGAGCATGTGTTGTTCCATGTGGCTATGTGACAGAGCATGTCAATATTTGAAATTTAGAGCAGTGTGTTGAGGTATTTCTGTGCCAACACTCTGACTCTCCCTGTGGCTGAGTAGGAGGGGTGAATCAGTATCAGTTTGTTCTTTTTTTTTTTTTCTAGCTGGGTGCAACAGCACTGAAATTAGTCTTTTCATGTTCTTCCTATGAAAGCCCCATGTAAAATAATGAAGTTTCAATTCATAATAATGGTCATCTCTACAAGAAACAACAAAGGACAGAGGAGAGTCATTTAAGTGGCTTCAATAGCTCTGTCTTAGTTTTAAGGGTATTGTTGTTTGATACAGCAGTTTTCAATAATCATATTCATACATTTTTGTGTGTCCCAAATAGTTCTTAAGAAATCAAATAAATTCGTATATAGAAACAGACATCTTCTCTGTGCTTGTCTAATTCTGGATACTCCAATCTTCCTGTGGCTATGAAGAGCGTGAGAAGCTGTAACGGCTTGTGAACCCAGGGATTCTTTTCTACTTAGAGTGAGCCATTAGACATTCTATTTTAGACCAGAACCAACATGTGGAGACCCTGGAGTCTATGATCCATTAACCCCAGGCTAGAGCACCCCAGGTGACAATAAGGTGGAAATCCCAACTTGATTTGAGGGTGGATTTTAGACACCTTTGCTCCTGGCCACAGAGGGTTCTAGTCAAAGCAGGATCGGCTAATCTGTGAATAAACCCATTGTTGTCAAGTAGATTCCAACTCATAGCAACCCTATAGAACAGACTAGAACTACTCCTTAGGGTTTCCAAGAGAGTGAATCTTTATGGGAGCAGATGGTCTCATATTTCTCCCATAGAGTGGCTGGTCAGGTGGAACCTCCAGTCTCCAATTTGAAAAGTATATAAGCTTCACTAACCTATCTTGTAAAAACACCCTAGGTGTCTCCGATTCATGTACTGCTAGTGCCAGAAGACATCTTAGTGATCACCTACTCAAGCCAAACTCCCTAATATTACAGCTAAGGAAATGAGGTTCATAGAGGACAAGCAACTTGTCCAAAGTTAAACTGCTGGTTAAGTAGTATGGGTGGGTTTCGAACTCAGGTCTGCGGCTAGCAAGGACAGTGCTCTTTAGGGCATACTGAGGTTATAACTCCTGCTGTGGCGCTGTGGGCTAATGCGTCAGGCTGCAAAGTCATTTGAACTGCAAGGTCGGTGGTTCAAGCTCACCAGCTGCTCCTTGGAAACCCTTTACAGGGTCGCTATGGGTTGGAATCGATTCAAAGGCACTTGACAACAACAACAAGGTATAAAGTCTGTACTCTGTACTCTGTAGCTTTAGACAGCTGGGTCATTACTTCATTATTTAGATTAACTATGAGATTCAAAGCTCTGTCAGATCCTACCTGAGGAATCTGTACTCCTCCCTACCTTTAACCCAGTTGTTTTCTCCACTGAGAAGCCCATCTCTCCTATCCCTGGCAGAGATTACAGAGCTGCACTTTAAGCACCGAAGAGTGTGTCAGTAATTAAATCACCCCACCAATTACCTGGAGATGACCTCAGAGATTATTCTAAATTAACCTCCAAAAGATACCCATTGCAAGGCAGGGGAGGTGGGAAAAGGATTGTGCCCTGTAGGCTAGCAAAGGCTTCTGCTCTGACATTTGAGATATGAGAGGGCCCGTGTATAGTGTTTGTGTACTGTGTTCACTCACCAAGTGCTACCAAGCCATGTGCCAGGCACTTAGGTAACAGGAATGGCGATTACAGTTTACAGCTATGAGAGTAAGCAGATTCACAGGCTGTGAATTCTAACCTGAAGTGATAATGCAACCAAAAAAACATAAACAAGCACTAGGTGAGCACACAGGAAAGTGTACATCATCTCCTTATAAGTGCCTATGAAAGCTTCACCGAAAAAGTGATAGTTCGGTTGCACCTTGAAGAAAAAGTGAGATTCTTGACAGGAAAAGAACAGGAGAAAGACTTTTCAGAGGCATGATGTTTCCATAATGGCAAGTGGCCCTAAATGACTGCAATATATTGTGAACCCAGTAGGAAAGGGATTGGGAAAGGAAGCCTGGAAATTAAGATTGAGATAAAGGAACAACCTTGAACATCATGCAGCTAAGGATGCTGACATTCATCCTGCAGGGAACAGAGAAGCCTCCTGAGGCTTATGGTTTCTAGTTTTTATTTTTCTATTTAAGGCTTATAAAATAGTGGTATGACATGCTCAGATCTCTGTTTTGGAATGACAGGCATTTTAGAGTAAAAGATGGATTGGAAAAAGAAGAGACTAGAAGCAGACAGACCAATTTACTCCAGAGTAAGAATGACGATAGTCAGAATCAGAGCAGCACATGTGAAAGACATTTCAGGGTAGAGTCAATAGACCTTAGTGAATAATTGAATATGGTGGGTGAGGTGGAACCATCAATCCAAGATTAATAGCTTGAGAAACTGTATTGCCAGCAATGCCATTAAGCCAAGGCAGGGAACACAGGAAGAAGGATAGATCTGGTGGGTGTCTGATTTAGATGCTCTGAATTTGAACTACCTATGAAAACTGCTCTGGTAGCATAGTGGTTACGAATCGGGCTGCTAACCTCAGGGTCAGCAGTTCGAAACTACCAGCTGTTCCGCGGGAGAAAGATGAGGCTTTCTGCTCCCGTAAAGATTTACAGCCTCGGAAACCCTGTGTAGGTTTCCTACTCCACGGCACATAACAACAACAACAACAACAAATGAAAACTGCAAGTTATGATATGCAGTTAGCATTCCACATATAGAGGTTGGAGCTCGAGATGCAAATTTGGGAGTCATCTGAGAATAGCTCAAATGTGAAGTGTGTTTTTTGTAATTATAGACACATTACAGTGTGTACACTGGTGTTTTATGAATGTGTTTCTGCTACTTGTTTGTGGTCAAGTCTGTGGATTATTAATGAGCGTATGTGTTGTGCTGACAACATAGAATGAGGAGAGTAACAGCTACTACATGGGGTTGTTGTAAAGATTAAGCCAGGACTGGGTAAAGAGACAATTGTTGTTACTACTAGATGTAGGGGGAGTGTGTGTGAATCTGTATATGGCAATTAGTAGACATCACTGGACTGCTGACCACAATGTCTGTGATTCAAAACCACCAGCTGCTCTGCTCCTTGGAAGCCCTATGTAGGGTCTCTGTGAGTTGGAACCAACTCAACAGGACTTAACAACAGGCATTAGTATGTACTCTGTTGTGTACGGGAACACTGTAAGATAAGCACTGGACTGCTAACCACAAGGTCGGTGGTTCAAACCCACCAGCCACTTTGCAGAAGAAAAATTAGCCTTTCTGTTTCTGTAAAAATTTACAGCCTTGGAAACCCATACAGGGTCCCTATGAGTCAGGGACTTAACAACAACTTGACAACATTTAACAACAACAACATGTATTGTATACATATAACTTGTGCTTGTGTGTGAGACCCACTCACCTGAGCAGCTTTTCTCCCCACTTACAGCGACATCTGTTGAGGATTCCTGTTGGGGGGTGAGGGGGGAGATAGGGAGGAAGCTTGTTAAAGGCAGAGAACCAGAAAGGAATGTAGGTGTGGGTGTGGGTGTTAGGCAAGCTGGCTGAGATACAGGACACAAAGGTAGCCAAAGTCAGCTTCTGGCTACCAGCCTGAGCTGGGATTACTGCACTCTGACCTAGGAGTGGGGCTGGGCACTTGCAGGAACACTCAGGCAGGAAAATACACAGGACCCAACACACACACATAAACATTAGACACAACCCTCCCATTGAGATACTCATGGTGAAACCATGTGGGGACTTGGGGCAATGCCCCAATAGATCCTAAAGCTAAAGACTATTGATAGTCTATGCAAATCAAAGACAAGCATTTACATACCTTTCTTTTTGACCTTCACAAAGTCCCTAGAGCAGTGTATACAAATTGTAGACACATTCATACAAATCCAGAAAATGAACTTCAGTTTGGTAAAGTAACCAGTTGATAATGCAAACAACAGATGATCAAACTCAGAGAAGGTACAGAAGGGATGAGAATGCTGGATGAAGTAGAAGAGACACCTGACCATGGTGGTAAAGTGGGAAGGGAAGGTTGAGACACACTTTTGTAGTATAGGATGAGGGGATGAAGCACACCTACCAAAAAGGCTGAGACCCTCCTTCAATCCAGTGGCCACTTTGTACACAGAAGGGTGCGACTCACTCTTAAATATCTGCAGAACACTGTCAGACAAATACAGGAGACCAGGGTAACTGAAGGCTTAAGGTTTTTGAAGAGAATGGGTTGGGGGGGGGCGTGGAGACTGACAAAAGGGCATATAACACATCCTCCTGAGATCAAGTCTTGATGTGAGGTTTACCCCTCACTTCTCTGTGCCTCAGTTTTCCCCTTTAGAAAAAGGAGTGTGACACCTTTGTGCTTTTCTTTCCTCTCTTCCCCATACCCACCTCTTCCTTTTATTCTAGAGAGAAATCCTTATAGTTGCTGGGGATTAAGGAAACTGGAGCTTCATTAGGATTATTAGAAGCATTAAGATTAATCCTAGACAGCAGCCTGCCTCTATCTCTTTACCTGTAAGTGTCTTGATCTATGCTGACCAGATGGGTTCTGAGGACAGAAACAAGGAAGGAATGGCATATGAGAGGTCTGAGTCCGTTAAAAATTTAGCTGCCCCCACCCCACCACCACCTTTTATACTACCTCCATCAGCTTCCCAGAGCTCTACAAACCCTCAGGTTCTCCTGTGTATCCTAGAGCTCTGCCCCCATCTCCACACTCTGCTTTATATTTCAGACTTCCCAATCCCACCTTGGCTCTGGGTGAGGTTAGGGTGAATAACCTACAACACAAATTTCTTAAAGCCCAGGATGGGAACGCTGACATTATAGTCTTCCAGTTCAACACCAATTCTTCTTCGACCCAGGAACTTGAGCAGCCCTCCAAGTGCTCGAACCTGGAAGGGGATCAGTAGTGGAATTGGGTTAATCCCAATGTCCTGGAGCCTGGACAACAGCAGGAAAGACTAGTATTTTCTAGTCTTTTCCAAGGCTTGGTCAGTATCTCTCAGGACCGCACCATAGGCCTGAGGTGTTTGTCTTCCCAACCCCTATTCCCTAGGCTTCATCTCATCCTCACCGTAAGGAGGCAGTCAAAGGGAATAATGGAAGAAAGGAAGAGGATTTTCTCAGTGGCAGTCATGGAGTCAGGGATGAAAGAGTAATTCCCAGAGAGTAGGCGCTGCTTACTTATCTCCAGACCTACTTGAGGGGAAGGGAAGAAAATAAAAGAGGAGAGGGAAAGACCACAGAATCAATTAGAAAGAACTGGAAATCTTCTAGTCCAATTTTTTTCACCCCATTTTGAGAATGAGGCAGTAGAAGCCAGAGAGATAATATGACTTGTCCAAGTGCCACAGAAAGTTAATAAAAAACTGAAGTTAGAACTGAATTTTCAGACTTTTAGTCTCATTCTTTTTTCATTCTACATATCAAATAAAGCTTTTCTAGCTGAAAGCATGACCTGAGAAAAATAAACAACTCAGAAGAATAAGATACTAGTCTGGAATTGGACCTTTTTTTTTTTTTAATCAAAAGGACTGTATTAATAGGAACCATTAAGACTAATGTTCTGAAATCTAATTAGGAAACATTCCCTGTCCATTTTGAAAGCCTGGGAAGGTGAAGGACGTGCCTTATGGATCATCAGAGTCACTGAGACAGTGTCTTTCTTTTTAAAAGGGCAAAAAAATCAGCTTTGGCTTAACCAGAAAAATTCCCAACAATCAAAGGTGTCTAGGTGTCAAGGCTCTCTTCTCAGGGGGAGGCCCTTATCTGTAGGCATACTTGAGTGGGTATCTGCAGTTTACTAAAGGTTAGTGGGACAGGAAAGGCATTGGGGAAGCTAGTCCTGGGGAATGGGGAACACAGACCCTAGGGTGAGAATAAGGATAAAGGGAGGCCTCTGATAATAAGGGTGAAACTAGGAGAACGGGTTAGGAAATGGGAATGTGGGATTGGACAAAGCAAAAGGAAGGAGATACCAAAATCCACACTTGGCAAAAATACAATTTCAGGTCTCTTAGGCTCTGCATGCTCCTGGAAGGCTGTGGGGGAGGTAAAAGAAAAAAACGGTCATCACCTTGTACACCTAAGTTCTTCTGCCTCTGCCTCTGTCCCACCTTCCCTTTCCCCAACTCTAGCTCCCTTTAAGGCCCTTCTGTCTTCTGGAACTTTCCATACCTTAGTTCTTACTTCCTTGCCCGATCCTTACCAAGTTTCCCCAGAAACCGAGTCATAGTCTCATCCTGTTTGGCACTTGTAACAACAGACCGGGGACTGACTTCATCCAGAACTTGGAAAGAGAATGGAGACATAATGAGTTAAGAGAGGTTTATCTTTAGAGTAAAAGGGAATCCATCAACCTTTCCTTGCTAACCCCCTCTCAGGAACTGATTTCCTCCCTCTAAGAGCAGGGAGTCTTGGGGTGGCACTATAGGATAAGCACTGGACTGATAACTGCAAGGTTGGCAGTTCAAACCCACCGGTCTCTCCTTGGAAACCCTATACAGAGTCACTATGAATCAAAACCAACTCCATGGCACTTAACAACAATAAGAGCAGGGAGTGCGCTGCACAGTGGTGGCACACACAGGAGTTAGAAATGCGATTCAGGGAAGGAAAGAGGAAAGAGATTGACTTGGGGGTGCAGGTAGGGGGCAGGAAGAAAGATTGTCCGAGAGTTTGTCACTAAACTGTAGACCCTTAGAAGAAAGAAATGACTGATCAGAACTTTATCTCCAGCACTTGATAAATATTGGTCGAATAGTGAAATGAACTCCTAGGAACAACAGAAAATGTTTCTGGGGGTTAAGTAATGAAACAAAATGCTATACAGACTGAGTCAGGTAAAAGCTGAGTGAGACAAACTACCAATCCCAGAGAAATTCATGGTTCTGTCCACACCTCTCTGGAGAAGCTTAAGGGTTTCATGGTCTGGAGCATCTGGCATGAAATGGATGGTGGAGTCACTAGTGTCATAGTAGGCAATGCCCAAGTATCCTGAATTCCACAGCACACATAAATGGATCTGACCGGTGAGGAAGAAAGAAAATCAATATTTGAGAACAAATAAATTCAGTTGTCATTGAGTCAATTCTGACACAGGGTCACCCCATGTGGTACAAAGTAGAACTCCTCCATAGCGTTTTCCTCCATAGTGGGCTAATGCACTAGATTGCAAAGTCGGTTTGAACTGCAAAGTTAGTAGTTCAAGTTCACCAGCTGCTCCTTAGAAACCCTATACAGGGTCACTATGGGTCAGAACCAACTTGATAGCACTTAACATTAACAACAGTGTCTACAGAAGAAGCCCTGATGATGCAATGATTAAGCACTCTGTAAGTAACCAAAAGGTTGGTGGTTTGAACCCACCTAGCAGCTCCCCAGAGAAAGAGCTGGCAAGCTGCGCATGTATTACAGTCTAGAAAATCCTGTGAAGCTGTTCTACTCCGTCACAAGTCAGTATCAGTACCTAACAAGAGCAAAAGCAGTTTGCCAGGCCTTTCTTCTGCTGTGCCCCTGGTGGGTTCCAATCAGCAACCTTTAGGTTAGTAAGTCACTGCAAACTGCTTGTACCACCCATACTCCGAAGGCAGGTAAATGCCACTCATTAATCATTTTTATCAAACCTCTGATTATCTCTCCCATTCAGTAAATGTGAAACAGACGCTCAGCGGAGGTAGGCAGTAAGGGACTTGCCCAGCTCCTCCTAACCCCTTTTTATCTCAGCATTCCTTAACTCCCAGTTCTCCCCATCCAAGCTTTCCCGAGAGAGATTGTAGTCCCCAGAGACCTCTGCTAGCTCTTCCTCTTCGTCCTCCACTTCCCCAGGAGCCAGCACTGGGGTAGACACTGGCAAGCCAGCTGAGGTTGCCCCGGGCCTAGGTCCCTGCGGCGTCCTGCCTGGGGTCGCTCCTAAGGAGGCCATGAACTTGAGACTCTGCAGATGCACGAAGAGATGGTTTAGCGTTTTGTTTCAACAAACTGCCAAATTCACTGAGAATTTCTGCGGGAAGGATGTAGCGCAGGGCCAGAAGCACTGAGAGCTGTGAGAATTCAAATGGGAGACTTTGAGGAAGCAATTTCTAAGGTATTTTACTAACGTACAGACTGCGGGAAACTCGTTCGTTCTCGTTTCTGTTGTGCTTTGTAAGGAGGCGGTCTGTGGGTCCAGGGGGCCGAGCTATACACACTTTCTCACAATCGCTGCCTACACTTTCAACAGCCCTAACCCAGCCGACCCAACTCGCGGAGTTTTCCCGCCGTTTTAGTCACCTTGGTTGCTACGTGCGCGAGCTTGCCCCACAGACTAACAGCCACGAGCCTGAGGGAGGGGCGGGATGCGCGCGCACACGCCCCATCCTCTTAGCTGCTATTGGCAGGACGAGAAGGAAGCGTGACCCGCAGTATTAAGGAAGCTGGATTCTGATTCGCTTATTTGCATTAGGAAACTTCAAACTTCCCGCCCTCTGCTGTTGATTAGCCGCCGGGCCTCGCGCCCTCAGTGTTTCTGGGCTTTGATTGACGCGGGGTGGAGCCGGAGAAAAAGTTGGCAGCCATGCTGGGTCTCACCTCAGTGGAAGGGACTGAGTAGGGTATGGGGGGTATGAGGAAGCCTACTTTAAAAGACCAGAGTCACGTTGTTTCGGGAGACTAGTGACATCCGCTCACCCACTGTCGTCGATTCTGACTCATTGTTGTTGTTTGTTGTTGTCAGGTGCCATCGAGTCGGAACCGACTCATAGCGACCCCATGCACAGCAGAACGAAACAATGTCCGATCCTGGGCCAACCTCACTACCGCTGCCACACTTGAGGCCATCAATGATGCCACCTGGCCGATCCATCTCGTTGGGGGTCTTCCTCTTTTTCTCTGACCCTCCACCTTACCCAGCATGACATCCTTCTCCAATGATTGTTTCCTCCGGACAATATGTCCAAAGTAGGAGAGACTCATAGTGACCCTGTATAAAGCTGAGTAGAATTGCACCATAGTTCCTACCACCTTGTGGCCAGTTGCCCAGTGCTTTATCCCCCTGCCACTAGAGCTTCTTGAGAGTGGTGATAAGCAACATTAATTCAACTTGTGCCAACAACTCTAAGTTAATATTTGTACCCTCTGAGTTAATATTTATAAAGAGCTTAAACAGTGCCTGGCAAACATAGTAAGAGCTACCTGAGTGTTATAAATAATTAAGTTGAAATCAGAAGTGAGGCTCGGATCTCAGCCCTCCTTAGCCTGTTTCCTAGGTATAAAGCATGACCACTCCCACAAAGACATTTCAGGACTTAATTTCAAACTTTCAGCCCCTGCTAACTGCAAGGTCTGCGGTTCACACCCACCAGCCTCTCCTCGGAAACAGGGTCAGTAGGAGTTGGAATGTACTCAATGGCACATAACAACAATTAATATCAAATTCCAGCAGAGAGAAGTATACCTGATACACCATCTTCACTCCTCCTAGGACACCTCCATATCCCTACACACACACCCTTAAAATAGGAGTCATTCATTCAGAAACCATTTATTTAGTACCTGGACCAGAGTCCTGTTGTGGCTGTGTAGAATAAGTACTGGACTGTTTGTCGCAAAGTTGATGGTTCAAACTCACCAGCCGCTCCTTGGAAACCCTCTACAGGGTCGCTGTGAGTTGGAACCAACTCCACAGCACTTAACAACAACAACTCTGGACCTGGTGTGACACTGTAGGATAAGCACTGGACTGTTAACTTCAAGGTCAGTGGTTCAAACCCACCAGCTATTCCTTGGAAACCCAATCTGTACAGGGTCTCTATGAGTCAGAACTGACTCCATGGCACTTAATAAAAACAACAACTCAAAGCAGTGAACCAGATTAAGTCTCCATGTAGCTTATTTTTTCAGTGTACGGAGGGGATGTGTGTGATGGAGATGGAAATAAACAAATATATACTTAATAAAACAGATCCCTTAAACATAGGTTTTTTGTTCCTGGTACTCTGAGATTGAGAGATCCTACCCAACCAACACATTATGAAAGTTGGTGATGAGATGACTTGGCTCTGCTGACCAGTGGTTGGAAAATGTCTTCAGAGAGAAAGATGGGGGAGTGAGGAGAAAGCTGGGTTAATGGTTAGTCTGGTAAATTGTGGAGCAATGGAGCTATGAAAATCTGGGGGAGGCTGGTGACAGCTCTGGGGAGTATCAGGGAGGACCACACCTTCCAATCTGGGTGGGAAGAGATTAGGGACTGGTTTACCAAGCAGAGGAAGAGGAGGAAGTGGAAAAAGAAGCTTGAAGGAAAGAAGAGATGAGATAGGAGCAAAGCAAGAATAAAGAGATAAGATAGGAGGGAAACTTCTCTGGTGTAGAATTTAGGGGTGCCGCCTTAAGCCTTAAATCTTTGGGGCATTCCTGGACGACTCCAGGAGAGGGCAGCGTTGCTTGTCATCTGGGGAGTTAAGGCAAAATATCTTGTGGGTAGCCATGCCAGCCAGCCAAAGTCAATATTGATGATTAAAGCAGCTGCAGCTATAACACTTCAGGGAAGAAAAGGGGAGGCAGGGGAGAGGCTGCCAAACCTGTTTGTGACCAGGACTGGCCCCATTTCCCTGAGGGAAGGTCTATGTAGGACACTGACCAGTTGGAGCAGGAGAGAAGACAATGCTGGGAAATAAGACTGGTTTGACAACCCACTCCCCAGTATGGGGGTCCCATCTGAAGATTTTGAGAATCTATCATGAGGAGGGTTCCCCTCCATGCTCACACACATACATACATACACACACACACACACACACACACACACACACGGGGTCTCTGTACATCCTTATTTGCTTGGTAGGTGCCCTCTAGTTGATTTCAACTCATAGTGATCCATGTGACAGAGTAGAAGTGTCCTATAAGGTGCCACAGGCCCCATAGTTTTTTGACACCATAGGGTGTCAAAGGCCCTATAGGCCTTTTTATCCCAGAGTCACTGAGTAGGTTCTTGGTGGTATAGTTAAATACCGTGGAGTCGGTTCCGACTCAAAGTAACCCTGCACAGGGTTTCCAAGGACAGCCAAATTATTAACCCTTGTGTTACCAGGGCTTCTTCTACATTTTGTTGTTGTTGTTAGTGCTGTAGAGTCAGTTCCAACTCATAGCAACCCTGTATAGGATTTCCCAAGGAGCAGCTGGTGGGTTTCAAATGCCCACTTTGTGGTTAGCAGATCAGTGCATATCCTACAGTACCACATTATAGGATGTTACAATCTAGGGGGACAAACACCAAATAGACCCTTTCTTTCTGAGAGAGACAAACAAGCCCTAGGGAAGCCCTAGGGAAGAGCAAACCCACAGAAGAGGAAGCACAAGAGGAAACCACTAACTGCTGGTTTCCAACAATACACATATCACCCCACTCCACTTCTCCAAGTCTCTAACTTTTAAGTCTCCAGTCTCTCTCTGTCTTTTTTTGTTGTTGTTTCTATGTCCTTGCCTATTTTTTGGGGAACAGTGGATCTTTTGTTCGAAAAAGAGTGATGAGGGGGAGACCAGAAGATTGGAGAGGAGAGATTTATGATGGAAGAGAAATTTTGGGTATTTACCCAGTTTGGTTGGCAATGTAGGATAAGTACTTGACCTCAAGGTCAGTTTGAACTGCAAGGTTGGTGGTTCAAACTCATCAGCTGCTCCCTGGAAACCCTACACAGGGTCACTATGAGTAAGAACCAACTTGATAGCACGTAACAACAACCCAGTTTGCGGAACATATTTTGGGGTTATTTTTCAACAGGTCATAATTAATTTGATAGAACTCCCAAACCAAGGCTACTGAGGAGGAAGAGAGCTAGTCTTTTTCCCTATTGATTTATTTATGGGCTCCTGGTGTGCTGGACTGCAAAGTTGGTTAGAACACAGATCAGTGGTTCAAGCTCTCCAGCTGATACTTGAAAACCCCATACAGGGTGGCTATGAGTTGAAACCGATTCGACAGCACTTAACAACACTAAGGATTCCATAAGGCATTCAGGTGATGTAGTGGGTTATGTGTTAGGCTACTAATCACAAGTTCGAATCCACCAGTTGCTCTGTGGGAAAAAGATGAGGCTTCCTGCTCCCATAAAGATTTATAGCCTGGGAAACTATATACCGGGTCAGTATGAGGCCGAATCGACTAGAAGACACACAGTAACAACTAAGGACTCCATTCACATTCTTCTGTCTGGTGTTTGCTTTTCACCCCCAGCAGGTCCAGTTACCATCACCCCATAGGGTCAGTGCAGCTCTATCTATCCTGGGACCACACTAACCCCAGGATATCTCCAAGGCAACCTGTGATAAAAGGCCAAGGGACACAGGAAGGGACCCAGAGCTGGCAGGCAGAAGTAGAGGCAAAAAGCTGACCAGGCTCTGGAGCAAGCCTGTACCTCCCCCTAGGTGGGGCCCCTTAGTTCAGCTTCCCTTTTCCCTAGCACAAGGCTGGATATCTCCTTTCTCATCTCCTGCGGGACCCTTCACCACCTCTTCCCAGTATTCCTGCTTCCACTTTCAATTTCTTCTCCTGGGTCACAGTCTTAACATGCAAGAGGAAATAAAGGACCACCGTTTCAGTTCTAAAACCCTTTGTCTAGGTTTTATTGAGTGTGCCCAAGCCCAAGCCATTGGTATCGAGTTTCACGTGTGAGGGTAGAGTACTGTTTGTCCTCTGATTAATGCACCAGGGAAACTGAGGCAGAAACTAAGTCCTCCAGATGACTGGAGAAACAAGGGGGTTTTCAGTATTCCCTCTCCTTAAAACTCCAGACCCGATCCTCTGGAAGACCTGAGGACCTCCTCTCTCTGCCCACTCCTTGGGCCTATGAGTCCCGCCCCCCTCCCGTCCCCTCCCCAGGTTCAGGGCGGGGCTGGTCTGTGAGTCAGCTGCTCTCCGATCCAGCTCCGGAGCTGACAGAGCTGCAGGGA